GACGAAATTGTCATTACTTCTCTGTTTGAAACAACAACTGACGGCAAGGCTGGGCTCAATTTCCAGTTCGTCGATTTAATTCCGCTTTTTCTCAAGTTTTTCTTAATTTTTACGTTCTTGATGTCTTCGTTCAATTATGAATTGAATTTTAAGTTTTGTTTTTCTAGTTTTTGAATTTTATTGCAATGTTAGTTTGTAGTTATTTTGTGCTTTTTTATTTTATTTTATTGCAGTGTTAGTTTTTCTTATATAATTTAGAAGTTGAAATGTGATTTGAAGTTGATTGGTTTTTGAGATTGTGATTTTGAAATTTATTTGAGTTGTAGTTCTTAGCTTTTCGGTTAAAATGTTCGACAAAATGCCCGAGTGAGACTTGGCATCACCTATTTGTGAGTTGTTTTCAACATCCATCAACACACCTTCTTGCATATGCTGATAGACTTATCTCGCAATATGCCTCTAGAGATGACTATAGTCCACCAACCGATCAACAAAACGGCACACTAAAATCTACATATTGTTTACTTCCAAAAATTTAATAGGCTCCAAAAAAAAATCCTGAATCCACTATTGTCAATCCAACTAGTAGCAATTTTGGGGAGCCCTGTAGGGCAACAAACATAGCTCAAGGGTACAATTATATTTACTTATGACTTTCTGTACGTTTGTTTTACTATATACATCATATGATATAAGACTAAGGATCTTCCTGACCAAGCTCATCGAGCCGTTGAAATTTTATCCAACGGCTACAATTATTATAAATTTTAGAGGGCCCCCTATTTGTAGCCGTTGGATAAATTTCAATGGCCCGATGGGCTTAGTCAGGAGAATCCTCACCCTTTACTCAGAAGAGGATCCTGATCCGCATGTTTTGATATGAGCCTAATGTATTGCACAGTCATAGGTAAGGTCTAATAAGTAGAGCAATTAAAGTGTCCATAATGTGAAAACAAATTGCACTGACTGTCGTTGAATGTTTTATCATGACTCTTCCAAAATTAACATGGAACTTTAAGTTACACATCAACTCTCATCATTTCATAAAAAACTCTCATCTTTTTTAGTGTAAAATATATCATTGTATTAAAATAAATAAAAAGTTACTCATCAAATCTCATCGTTTCATCAAAAACTCTATTTGACTCCTATTTTGAATTTTCATTGCGATTCCTATAGATTAGTATCCAAATTTGAATTTGAATTCGCATGAAGCTATGAGAACTACAAGTAATTTTACAGGTTTTCGTTGAGCCGTTTACAACAGTAAGCTTCATTTTTGCTGGTATTTGTTACATGATTCGCAAGCATTATACATTGATTATCTTATGTAAGTACTTGCTCAAGTAACTTTTGACATTGATTGTGTTAGCTTCGGGAGATTTTAACATTACCAAGATGGAGTACTACATCTTACTGTTAGAATCATGTAAAATTATTTCACCATAATAGGTAGTTACAATACAATATGTAGTTTAGCTTGTACAAGTACTTATATGGCAGGTAGTTCAGACTGTAAAAGTACTTATATAATAGGTAGTTTAGATTATAAAAGATCAGTTGAAATCTAAGTTTATGCTGACTAATATTATAATATGATAGGTAGTTTCGCTTGTACAAGTACTTATATGACATGTAGTTTAGACTGTAAAAGTACTTATACAATAGGTAGTTTAGATTATAAAAGATCAACTGAAATCTGGGTTTATGCCGACTAATAGGGCACCTGAGTTGAAAAAAAAAATAGAAAAATAATATAACTAATAGCGAGGCCCCCCAAGAGATTTATAGGTGTTCGAAATTTTGGAAATGTCCTAAATTAATATTAGGGAATATGTGGTGCGAATAGAATGACTCTAACTTTGGCTTATAGCACATAGTTTTTTGTGAAAAAAAGAATTTGAAATTTTTAGCTTTAAGAAATATTTTGTGATGTAGTTAAGGAAAATATTGCAAAACCTTTGGATGTGATCCTACCGATTATTAGATCCTGAAATTATTTTTTATTGATTCTTAAAGTGAGAAAATAGAAAAATATCTTTAAATTTAGGTTTTAAATGATTGATTACAAGCGTTTAAAAATGAATTATAATATATTTTGCACGGAAAAAATATATTTTAAAAAACATAAATATGATAGTTTGTTGTTATGGTAAGATAAATAAAAGAAACATTAACAAAATAAAAAATAAAAATAAAAAACTGCAAAAAAAATTGAAAAGGGAGGAATCGGTATAAAGATAGCGACTTTTTCTGAAACCTGTCGCTATATTTGTAGCGATTATCCTGGAGTAGAGTAGTTAGCAAAGTACCGATCGTATCATTTTCTTTATTTTTTCCCTATTTTTTTCTTTTTCCATTGAATAGCTATAGTAGAGTAAAATAGTAACCACAATGCAAAGTATCAACCTAACAACAAAAAGTGATGGCACATGGAGTCCTATTCATGGACCTAAATAAAAAAATAACTAAAAATTGGACTAATCCAATTGTTAGGCCATAAAATTGGTAAAGGGATCATTTCCGGATCTCTTTCACCAAATCCACCTAATCACCTAATTCGGACCCTTGATATTTTCCAACGGCTAAAGTTATTATAACTTTTAAAGGGGCCCCTTGTTTGTAGATGTTGGATCAAATTTCAAGGGCCTGGATTGATTGATTGGGTGGATTTGGTGGAAGGGATCCAGAGAGGATCTCTTTCCATAAAATTAGACCTATTTCAAGTTAGTTTATTTACGCATAACAAATTTGTAAGGAAGAAGTTAATTTAAACTACATATTAATGAAACTCTTTTTGTCAACTATAAGAGGGTGAAAAAATATTTTTGTCTTCTGTCACAAAATAAAATTATGGACAATAAAGCAATTTGCACAAACTAAATTTTACAATTGTTTTTAAAAGCATCATCTACATGTAATCCTAACAAATCACTTACAAGAACTCCGGATTTTTACGGGTGTATTGTTTTATGAAACTTCAAATTTCTATGGCACTTATTTTCAAAACTTCAAGTTCGAGTTTAAGTACGAACTCTAGGTTCATGATACCTACAAACAAACACAATATACATATGTAGTGAACCGGAATAGCTTCGGGACCTATGTGTGAAAATAATGAGTGACGACCTAAAATATAGGGTTGTCGTGGCTTGCAAGCCCAGAAAAGTGGTTGTTGGGTTACTAGGCAACAAAGGAGAAGTAAATGGGTTAATAGATTATATACCCAATTATTGGGCTAAGAAGGAAAAATGAAAAACAAGACCTAACCAATGGGCTTATTATTTCATGCAAGCCAAAAATAAAACAAGGCCATAAAAAAAAAAACAAGTGGGACGGTTTGGTGCATATGCCCAATTGGGTTGCGAGTCGACTGCAGGCAGGCTAGGTCCGTAAGAAAGGTGATGCAAAACGACTTTGTTTTGGACCTTAGAGTTTTGGAGTAGGAACGACTTGGTGGCTCGAGCAGCGCGGCTTTAGGCTGCGGCTCCCATGCGTGTAGGGTTTGAAAAATCACATTTTTTTTCTTCTCTTATTCACGTATATTCAATTCACCACAATTATAAGAACAATAAATTTAAGCTGAATCTATAATTTGAAAAAAAAAAAAAAAAAAAAAAAAAACGTAAAATTAGAGTTCATGCTTCATGGTGAATGTTTCATGCAATCATTGCTGAAATTTTTTTTATAGATTACTTGGATTGTTTGATGAATATTGTGAACGGCTATGTAGTAAACAAGCATTCAGTTCCTTAGCTTAGTGTTAGGAGTGTGTTTAACAATGCGTTGTAGCCTAAATTTAACTAAAGGAGAGAGAGAGAGGGGTGCAGTTGCATAAAGAGAAAAGGTAGGCTTGAGAATTACTGTGATTATATTTCTCCGTACCTTGTGCCTTTTTTAAGAAAAATAATGGGGTTACTTGCCCTACAAGTAATACAAAGTTGTGCCTTTTTATTTTTTGTAATTAATTCGTGAATTGTTTCTCACTAACATCGGTAATTGTTGAGACTATAAATACTCAAGTAATGATTTCTGTTGTGAAATTGGTGTGAATGCTCACATAAAGAAAACAACCACATATGGCTTAGGGTGGAAAGTAGAAGAATAGAAGTCAAAATTATATTGCTTAAATAGAAGAAGTTTGGTTTTTATTGTTTTAGGTGTGTAAGCCTTTTACATGCATTAAAAGAGACGTATGATTGTATCGTACGAGTAGTACAAAAAGATGAAAAGCAAAAAGTAATAATCATGTTTTCCTCATTTGTCCCTCTCTACGTTCATTTCTCTTATCTGATACTAGTGAAGAAAATAAACAGAAAAATACATGGCTCCCGTTTCACTTCAATCTCTAACAACTCTAATAATATATATAGGTACACATCATCTGATAATAACATGTGTCTAAATGTTCAAGGTAATCATTATCTTGAATTGGTCAAAACTCCAAAAGACTCCAAAACAAAATTGTCAAACACTCTAATGCTTTAGCACATTCGATCAAATATATTAAACATTAGTCTGTTCTATCAACTATAGTTTTCTCTCAAATGAGGCATATATATATTATATGGCCCTTTATAACCAAGCATATCTCGAGATACTAAACCTATTTAGAATTTTTTTTTTTTTTTTTAGTTTTACATATATTAAAATAAACGGTTAAATGAGTACCCGGTTATAACCGTGGATAATACCCATAACCGTCTATTTAAATTTCACGGGTAAACGGTTATACCCATAATCGTTTATTTATCTAAACAGTCACCCATAACCGTAACCGTCAAATTTAAATGAGCAAATAACCGCGATTACAACCAATGGGCATTGCCCATCCCTATATAAGAGAAGAGAAATGTTAACAACATTCTCATTTAAACATTTTCGTTCTACCTTCTTAGCTCTACTTCTCATACTGTAATGTTGCTTGATGATCTAAACCGTCTGCTTTTTAAATCACCGTTTAAAGATCATCTATGCTAAAAAATTAATTAAGTCTATAATCATTCAATCATCTAATCATTATTTAGTAAAAATACGAACCATGTTTCTCACTTAAACATTGAAATTTTGACGTTAATCTCATTTCACAATAGCTTAATTTTGGCATTTTACATTTTAAATAAACAAAAACAACTACGATAAGTCCAGATAAATAAAATAATCTAAATGTTAATCCTGCTTTGAGTCTTGAGGAAGTGCAGGTTTCCTCTGAGCAAGCAGCAGCTTTGTCCTCTCAAGGACTCCAAAAAAGATTGATCCGCCTATGCCTATCCACAGCACTCTCGGCCCGATGCCCTGAAGCAAGCAAACACAAGATATAAGATAACTTTGGTCAGTAACGAATTACTGATCGCATCATGATCAACGCTCTGTAAGATTTCATACACAAAACCCCCGCAAATCCAGGCCTCAGCGCTCGACTAAAACCTGTTTAGTACGTCAGATACTTTGTGATGAGTTGAAGGGATCACAAAAAGTTATTCTCCATTTCGGGCCATAAGTCGTATCAGTAAGATGATTATGGAACCGCCAAGAGATGTGATAGCATAGACTAAAGCATATCCAACCCAGACCCAAATATAGAGACAGTACAAGTATTTATGGACCAGGAAGGAAATGAAACTCTGTACAGTTGGCTACCACATATTGCGATCTCATGTGATATTTCACCCAGTTAATTTCATGTAAAGTGCCCTTTTGGACCCATATCCTAATCTTAATCAATGTGTTGACAAAATTCGAACTGCTCGAACATAAGATTAAAATGGTCCAAACTACGGAGATGAAATTGTATTTTCGATGCATTGCAAGAACATAAAGTCCTTTGATTAATTGTTAATGAAGGTTAGTGATTAGTCAATGATCGATCCAGCTAAAGCATCCTACAGGCCTCATATCATACCTCTAGTGACCGTCTAAGAGATACATAACTTAATATGAAATGCAGAATATGGAACCGAAAATAAAGTGTAAACCATTTTACTTCTTTGTTTATTTCCTTTTCATGGGCTGCTAGAAAAAAAAAACATGGGATTCATATTTTGTATGAAATTAAAATAACGGATGCTTAATACACACCTTCAAAAGAGCAGAACGTCCTTCTTCCCTCACAACAGTTTGAACACAATCAATGATTCCTTTGTACTGGTTTGCAGATCCCTTAAAACAAGCAAGCAAACAAACGATATAACTGTTTCTTAACAGAGAAGCATACGCGCACATGAGTCCATGCAAAAACTTATGTTCACGTGGTTCTTTGCAAGAAGAAATCTAAACACAGGTGCAAACAATTGGAGGATGCCCAAATGTTTGTTAGTTACTCATTTTAAATTAGCCCTTATGTGAGTTCTTTTAATTAGCACCCCCTTAAACTATGGTATATAATATGGCATCCCTGACATAATTTCCAAGCTCTGCCACTGGGCATACATTATAGTATAAGAGCTTCGATAAGAATAACAGAAAGCAGAATAGCAGTTTGGCCTTACCTGAACCATTAGCCTGGTTTTAATCACATCAAGGGGAGTGGTTATTGCTCCAGTTACTGCGCCTGCAAGAGTTTGATATTCAATATATGAGAGATTTCATACAACCGACATGACAAGGTTAGTTTTGTATTCTTAAAGGGAGAATGAGGTTCCTCTTATACGTGTCCCAAAATTAGTAAATTGCAGGGAATGAGGTTATTGCAGTTTATGACAATAGTGGTAGAATAGCACTCTTCCATGAAGTCTAGACAGGTGCTCAGCTAATCGAACCAACTTCTTCCCCACCCCAAAAAGAGAAAACCAAAAAATAAGGGAAAAAAAAATGCAGCTGTACTGTCAAAGTGAACGGAAAGTGAAGAGAAAACTGCATTAATATGTGCATTTGCTTCCATGGATGTAAATCACACCCCGGGAAAACCACTGCTAGAATCCATTGGATAGAATCATAGAAGTCAAATATTTAACCAGAATCTATCACTTCTATGTCTTAAATTTTCAGTGCATGCTAAGGAAGCTCCATCAACCACCCCTCAGAAAAGTTAAATTTTGACAAGATTTACGTGATTGCAAAGCAGAAGTATATGATACAATCCAGTGTTTCATACAAAATGAAGAGCAAAAGCTATGTACCAGCAAAAGCCCCAATGATAGCATTTTCGGGATCGTTGAGCTCTCTTTTTGCCTGACAAACAGAAACAGATTAAAAAGTGATTAAGGGAGGCAGTACAGGATTTATGGCATACAATCACTTTTTGATCATTATGGGTTTGGATATGTTAAGTGTTTAAGGGCATTGCACTTTTCTCTATATCTGCAGATTGGAGAGCTGTTGTGGTCCGCACAGGTACCATTTGAGGTGGACCCTATAGTTTGGAGGGTTTTATGTACTTAACCCTTTCACATGCAAGTCTTTCTTTTCTAAACCCTAAAATAATAATTGTTTTCTTTTAAATGCAAAACTCCATTAATTTCTTAGTATGTAAATTGCCTCCATAGTGGATTTGCCGAGCACAAACCCAATTTGGTCGTCTCCACAATTGATTCTTGCTTAATCATTGTTCTCTTAGCTTCATTGACTTGGCAGGACCCAAGTATTATCCTTATTAAATCATTAGTTACCGAGTCAACTTCCACACTTCCAAGAGTTTTACATCCCTCTGTAGGTATTTTATATGGTTTTAACGGTTTCATTGTTACCGATAGTTTAAAGTAACCTCCTGCCTTTCAAAACTTCCTGATCCCTTTACCCAAGAGAACGTAACATACTAAACCAATAATCATAAAACAAAAACAGAAGTACAGACCCCATGACTACATAACCCCATAATTTCACACTTTTGTGAAAGAAAGTTGTTTATCAGTTGAAATGAAAAATAAGTTTAAATGTTCCATTCCAAAGGTTCTCTGTGCCTCACAAAATGTCAATAAGTTTATAAACAAAAAAAAAAAAAAGGATAAAGTCATGAACATGAACTGCAAGTAATACTTTTTGAACAAGGATTTATCCAAGAGGAATCTTATCACTTGTCAAACATAGCATCAGCACCAGTTATGCAGTCAAGGTACTAAATGGAAAATATTAGCAGTCATAAGTAATTTTAATCAATGGCTCACTCTAGTCTGCAAAAATAATCGAACGGTGGTGAGAAGCTTACTGCTTTTTTGTAACCTAGCCGAAGCTGCTCGTATAGGCAAAATTGAATTGCATCAAATGGCAAATCTCTCAATAAAAACGATCCATATCCCTACTTTTCCACAAAAGAAAAAAGGTCAAAATTGAAAAATAACTTAACAACACAATAAGATTGCCATCCTGGTTGCATCTTTGTAATAGGGAAAAGAAAGAAAGCAAATGACAAAAACATATGGATAGACAAACGAAGGCACGTTAATGCCTCTAGGTTGTGTAATACAACATTGCTAACAAAAACAGAGACCAAAACAGCAACAGACACCATCTCATAACGAAAACCATTTCAACTTTTTGACCTAGGAGGAAATCTAGGAACTTCCAATCCAATTTCTACGAAAATAGGGACTTGATTTGTCCTCTAGTAAGAATACAGACCGCATAGAATCCTTTAAAGCCCTCTTTAAAAGCAATATGGCGGACAGCAACAGAGGCTGACTGTAAATTGCCCAGTTTGCATCCTTTGCTTAACAACCTGAGAAATAGGACAGAAAAATATCAGCCAAAGATAATTGAACATGGAAGTGCATAAGTAAACTACTGTACCTCTGTCGGAACACGAACGAGTGATGCAGCAATACCTCCAAAAGCCCCTGCTGTCTACAAAAGTTCAAGAAAAGGATTTCTATCAAGACAAAACAGTTTACACCAGCCAATTTATCAACATAAGTATCAGGCAACCAAATAGGTTCAAAGGATTACTAAACTGTATCATTGACAAGAAATAAATTTTTCTAAAATATATAATTGAGGTTGCTGATTCCATAGAGCATATGTAGATCACAACCACATCATGTAATACTAGACTACTGATCTCATTTGATGACCATTGAGACATAATAGGAGGCATGCATCAAAAGGTGTTTGATAATTCCACTAGTGGTATAAAGCACCGTGCATTCTGAGACTGAGAGCAACAATCTTTATGATGTAACGGGCCTTCATGCATAAAGTAATAAGCAGAGAAGACTTTGCAGACCGCTCATTGGTCAAAGTCCCACTTGAAATACATATAACATAGAGGAGTAGATATATTTTTCTTACAAAATGGGCTAGAGCACTTAGATTTTCAGGGAAAATCTTCAGCAGTTTTTTCTTCGCAGGTTCATACACTCCAACAAAAATTGCAGAAGCCCTGCACACAAGTAAATAATTTTTACACACACATTAGATTGTTCTTCACAGTAAACATTTTATAGCACAGGCAGAAGGTCCACTAAAATCTAATATGTGATGTGGTAGTGACAGACTGCAAATCCTTACAGGAAAGGAATTTTACTCTAGTAGTAATGTAGCTGCTTTGTATGTGTGCACGTGCGCATATGAGGAACTGAACTATACAATGTGATCAGCGGTCTGAACCATTCATTTTTTAGGTCCATGTCAAAGATATTTCTTACAGAAACCGACTTGCAGACCATTTAGCCGTCTAACTATTATCAAATGAAATTTCCACTAAACAATGAACTGGTCATGATGACAAAAACAAACAATCACTAAACATGAACTCTGCCATTTAAGAACTAACTCTCCACTATCCATGTTCATGGCATAGAAATACAATAAGCATGCATATCCCAATTACTATTAAGCCAATTAGCTCATGCATGCACCTGATATTCAGAAGGTACTTACGGTAAGACACCAGCAAGATTTCCAGTCAATCCAGAATAAAGCCCCTTAATGCTATTTTCCCTCCACCACGAGCAGCCTGTTCCAAAGCTCAAAACCGGTGTTCATAAATAACTTGATGGTCAAGATAAAAATTGAAAGTATGCAAACGTATTGGATAGACCATTCTTGGATTCCTAGACAGACCTTATGCAGCATGCAGATACAAAACAAAAGGGAACGAGGAAGAAAAAACAAAACAACTGAGTGCTCAGTCTCACAGCACAAAAATAACAAGTAGTTCACTTAATACTTTCTGAGCTACCATGGTTGTTTGTATCCAATCATACTATTAAACCATATACATAGTGGATAGGCTAGAGGACCAGAGGCTCAAACCTATCAAGTTTAAATACATAAATGAACTAGAATGCACATTCATTGTTAACCTGCCTGCAGTCTTGTCTTTATGGTATCAATGGGGTATAGAGCTGTTTCAACAACAACACCGGCTGTACCTCCTGCAATGACACCCTCTGCAAATCCAGCCATACTAGTTATTAGTTAAATCAGGTGTGCAGTATGTAATGCATGTAGACCAACTAATCCAAGAAATAGAATATGTTATAAACTGAAAGACTATTGGCATCACCTCTTCCTCAACAACCAAAAGCTCGTTATAAAGCCACACACTACTGCCCACACCATGCTAGCTTTTTCATTTTCCTTTGCTCAAAAAAGCAAGAGTTGCCACCTTTTTGCAATCACTCTGATATTGTCTAGCTCTACTCCCCCTCAACAACCTACTTGTGAAACTAATCTTTACTCTACATTAAACCTCTAAGAGTTAGCAGTCCCTTAATACATTTGTCAATACAAAAAATTGGCTTAATTATGATGCTTAATGAACTGCAACCTAGAATTTAACATATAAGTAAACACTAATCAATATCTTCAACTGTAATTATTAAACGTACCAAATAAAGTGCGTAAGAAATCAAAGGGTTTCTCTTCCTGCATGCTCACTGATGCAAAAGACTTTCGTGTTCCTATAGGTGCATACTGCGTTTTCTGGCTATATTCATCTGCAAAATCATATCACTCATTAAAACAAAAGGCAATAACATTTAAATATAAAATACCAAAGGAACGTACCAAATTCCGCATCATCAAAACAAAGAGTGTAGGTAGTTAGATATCAATACGTATTATAATCCCTATACAGGAAAGTGTATCCTACTCCTACCTCATAAAACCAGGGTATTGTTCTAGACTTCTAAACAATTTCTACCTAGTAAAGAAAAATATTTTCTTAAATGTAATGCTTAATCTATGTTCAATACAAAACAGGTTATAGCAACATATTTTATATGATTTCCCAAATTAACATTGAGAGAGAAATTTTCTACAAATAGGCTAGTTCCTAATAAACCTCGAGAGATCATATGAGATACACACTACTGTAAATAACAGAGGGCTCTAAATATTTCTAATTCATAAAATAAACCTCTTAGAAATAATGATATATTGTTTATGCAAAATAAATTCATTAGACTAAATGCTCGTAGATACCATATAGAGAAAGTGAACCTGAATCCTTATAAATAAAAAAAACAATAACGGCCAAACCTTATCCTACTAAGTGGGGTCGGCTGTATGAATCCTACAACGTCACAGCACAACATTGGGAGTATTTATACATAACTAGGAAATAATTACATTGGGAGTATTTACAAATAATTGAGATTTCTCACATTATGACTACGATTCAGATTCTATACAATTTTGACTAGATAAACTTTTAGTCTCTTTATTTTTTGGGTGTTAACTGTTCAGGAAAGCTTAAGCATTCAACAATGGCTACAACATATTATATCTAAATTATTCAATGTGGTCTAAATTATGCTATTAATATCAATAAACAGGAAGATTAAGGAGAAAAAAGGCAGAGGAGCAAAAATTGAGAAAATTGTTTACCTGGTGAAGTTCCTGAGCCCTTTTCGAGTCCACTGCTAGCGTCAGAGGACCCATTGATGTCCAATGCCTGCCCAAACCAACCAACTATGCAATTACTCAAATTTCAAACGGAAAGTTGCAGAAATCAAATTAAATCAGAAAAATATTGTGAAAATTAATTAAAAAAAAATGTATTGAAATGGCCGAGAGGCAGACCTGAAACCGAAAGAGATGGATGATAGAAGGAAGGAAGAGTCAGTGATGGCGAATGTCGAATGGCGAACGGCGAGGGCGAGAGTCTCAGTCAGTCCCCACTTCGCCTCTTATCACTCTGCTGCTGCTGCTGCTGCTGCTGCTGCGGGTTTTGCCTTTGCCTTCCCTTCCGGGAGAAATTATACAGTGATACAGTCCTACCACGTCAGTTGTGAGACTTCCACTCAAAAATTGCCATTTGTACCATTTTTTAACAGCTGGATTAAATAAAAAATTAAGAAACAAAATGAAAAAAAAAGAATCCCCTCCATTAAACGCAGTCGTCCCTGCGTCGTCTTCCCCCATTAAACGCAGCCGTGTCCCTCCGTCTTCTTGTACAGTTCGCCGGCGAGTGTTGATGATCGCGGTGGCGAATGACACATGAGGACGAGAGAAGCGGTGATGACGTGGCAGAGGAGGGCTCTAAACGACTCCGGAGAGGAGAAGGAAGTAGTTGCAGAGGAAACGAGTGAGTCCAGGGGAGGAAGACGACGCGCCGAGGCCGAGTTCGTCAAAGAAAAATAACTTTGCGATGCTTCAGAGGCGGTCGTACCATGTGATGCTCGTTTTCTGGGCTTTCAAGCTGTTGAAATCCCACACTTCCATTTTACGCAGAGGAAAACATGGGAACCATTTGCTGGATGCTGAAGGTGGAATTAATTTTGAAGGGGGAGATAATATTGTATGACATTCGAGGGGATATTCCAGGATGGCAGCCATGGCAGGTGTGAGAGTGGTGGCCGGAGATTGGGAATCTGCCGTATCGGTCGTTGAGGGCATTTATTATTAACTTAAGTTTTTTAATTTTTAATTTCCTTTTTAACAAGAAAAAAAAAAGTGTAAACGCGGGTTTAACCTCTGAACTAGTATCCAATGGACATTGACTCTGAACTATTTTTCTAGTAAATTAACTGTTTGCTATTAAATTCCATCTACAATTCTGTCAAATTCAAGGATAAATTGATCATTTTATCATAAATTCTTATTCGTTAATGATAATCATCAATAAAATTATGACATGAACGCAAAATAATGTGTAAAACATATAGCATAATAAGAAACATAAAAAAAAAAATGAACATTTACATAACAGGCCACTTCACATTATCATTACACATTATTTTGTATTTATATATTATAAATTTATTGATGGTTATAGTTGATAAGTAAAATTGATAATGAAAAGACTAATTTGCTCTTGAAGTTGACGAAAATAGTAGATAAAATCTACCAATAAGGAGTTAATTGGTTAATTTTCCAAAAAAAAAAGGTTTAAAGAGTCAGTTTCAATGGGAATAGTAGTTTAAAAGGTCAAATCAGTTTCAATTAGAATAATACTTTACGAAGTCAAATGACTGTTTACTCAAAAAAAAAAACGTAGAGAAGGCTTTAAGTTTAGCTGCAAAAAAATTTTCGCGGCAAAACTTGAGTGGAAGTAGTAGGGGTGGATTTTTTTGCCAAATTGCCGTGTCAACCGTGGCAACCATGCCATACCAAATTTGTGTCAATCGGTAATGGTACGGTATTGTAATGTACCTAAAATTTTACAGTATGGTATTGTTAATTGATACCACTACCACAGTATTATCGTAGCGTACTGAAAATATAATATATTATATTATTATATTAACACATTTATAATATTTTATTGCTTGCTTGATTTGTATAATGAGTATAGGAGATTGAAAAATGTTTGCTTGATTTGTATAATGAGTATATGAGGGGTTCTACTATCATTGGGGTTCTATTGGAAGATGCGGAACTAAATGAGGAGTCCATAATTCAAGCTTCTGGGGGTGATGAAAACAAAATTGAAATGATGAAGGAGCTTATACAAGAAATGAGGGAGTAATGCCTTTTAGAGATATCCAATGAAGTTGATAAATATTTTTCCGCTCCTTATATTAGCAATGTTGTTGGTGGCTTTGATCTCTTGAATTGGTGGAAATCAAACATCAAATAGTTCCCAATTCTTTCACAAATAGTTAAGGATATATTTACAATCCCCACTTATACCGTTTATTGTGAAAATGCATTTAGCCTGGAGTGGAGGGTTGTGAACCATTTTAGGGCATCCTTGACTCCTAAAATGGTAGAGGCACTAGTGTGTACTAATGATTGGTTTAGGACGGATAAGTAAACTTCTACAAAGAACTAATGGAAGATATACTTCAATTTTACAAGGAAATGGAAGAAGTGGAAACAAGTAAGATCTGCTTTAATTTTTTTAGTAAATTTGTTATTAAATGTTTTTAACTTTAATTTTTCTTGCTACTAATATGTTTTCTTTGTTTGTAACGTAGAATTTACACAAGCTCAATCTTGTACAAGTTCAATGCCTCCTCCAAAAGCTTCAACATATCAAACTTGAATAATTGATCTATATATTTTACTTTTTGAAGTTTAGTTCCAATTTTCATTTGGTTGGAAACTTTTAACTTCTATTTGTTTTGGTTCGTAACTTTTATTTGGATTGTTAATTCTTCTTGCTACTAATATGTTTTTTTTGTTTGTAATGTAGGCTTGACACAAGCTCAATCTTCTACAAGTTCAATGCCTCCTCCGAAAGCTTTTGACATCTCAAACTTGAAGAATTGATGTATGGATTTTACTTTTTGAAGTTTAGTTCCAATTTTCATTTGGTTTGAAACTTTAACTTTTATTTGGATTGTTAACTTCTATTTGTTTTGGTTCATAACTTTTATTTGGATTGTAAGCTTAATTTTTATTATGAATCTTGATGTATCATTTGAATTATTGTGTGTGTGAATTGTGAATAATGAATAATAAATGAATTTAGGCCACAATAAATGAGATAAAGGTACAAAAAAAATAGTTTTGCCCTTGAATTGGGTTAAAAAAATAAAAACAGATTTTGTCCCAAAATAAAATGGCAATTATCATTGTCATACTATGTCAACCGAACTATTTGACAATACCGAACTTAAGTATACCAAAAATTTGGTACAATAATAGTAATAAATTTTGTTATACCGAAGATTTGATACGAGAATTTTGATACGATAACCATACCAAACCCATCCTTAGAAGTACTAAAAAGCAACTGACGTATAACTGTATCACTCGATAATTTTGTCCCATTAGTGTAAAATGTGAAAATTAAAAATTTGTGGCACATTTTACAAATCACTTCAAATGTCGAGGGTGTGAGATGTAATTAGCCATTTTATTTATATAACCGCACAAAACCCTAAACCCTGACTAGGTCGCTCTAATCTCATATAGCTCACACCGCCCGAATCCCCGAAGGAATTGAGAAGGAGAGGGAGAGGAAGATGAATCACATAGCAGCAATGGAAGAGCAACTGGTATCGGAGAGAATAAAGCAAAAGCTAAACGAAGTAAATGTCGCTGCCCAGACCCAACTCTCCACCATCCAAGACCATGTCAATTTCACCCTTCAGGTATAGATGCATCTTCCGGTGTTTGATTCTTTTGCTTTTATTTTTTTATTTTTTTGGAGTTTTTGGTTGATCTTGTGATATATTTTTGTGTGTATTTGTAAAGGTTTCATATAATATACATATGTGTGTGTGTGTGTGTGTGTGATTGATGGGTATGGATTTCACAGAATTACTGCATTGTCAGCTGCTTGGTTTTGAGAAAATTTTGTAAAATATGATTCTGGTATTGTTACTGGGCTCTGTTTGGTTGATCAGAAAATGCAAAGGGAAAATTAAGTAAAAGAAGTTAGCTACTTTGATAATTGATGCTAGAGAAAACAGTCATTTAATTCAAGTGTGCAGTCATTGTTCGGGGCTTAGTTTTTTTATTAGTTTATAATTTTTGTAGATTTTATTTTTTGAATTTGCATACCAGATATAAAGCCAATAATTGATTTATTTATTTTTAGATTATAATTTACTTGTTGATTGATATGGTTTTGAAGCCTGGGATGCAATGCAAACTTGGTGATTCTCCTTACTTATATATCACTTTATGTAGTAATTTTTCGGCTAAAATTTTGATGACGACCTTTTGCAGCAAGCGTACTTCAAGTGTGCGCACGAGTGTTTTGATAGGAGACGAAGTCAGCAAGACATAAGCAATTGTGTCGAAAATTGCAGTGTTCCTGTTGTCAGAGCTCAAGAGGGAGTTGAGAATGAGATGGCCAAGTTTCAAGTAAGTTCTTCTTACTTTTCCCATGTCTCTTTCGGTGGTTAAAATTCCTTACGTGTTCCCCCTTTTCTAGTTGAACTGTCAGATGTTTTGTGTGATGAAGATTGAAAACAAAAGCTAGTGTAGTGCCATTTGCCCGAGTTACACATAAAACCCAAGAAGGCACTAGACCACTTTACTGTGTAACTCACCTCTTGCTTCTCCCACCATCAGAAGTGCTTCTCCTCCATGGAAATCGCTTACAGAATTGAAAATCGAAATGGCTCACACCAAGCCGCAATAGCTTTTCTGCATAGAAATTGCTCAGGCCAAACCACAAGAGCTTGTCCCACTCACAAGATTTGTTTTCTTTTCTTTCTAATAAATGGGTTTCACCATTTCCATGACCGAAAGAATATAAATTAACTACGCTAACCTCTTCGGGTTGTTCTCAGCCTAATAAGAAAACCCAGTATGGTGTGTTTTTATGATATATGTATTTTACCGATTTTACTTTTGAAGACGGAGTTACGATTTTGTTTCTCCTATTTTATGAGCTTTTGGTTCTTGGAGGAGATTCTACTTTGTGAGCTAGATGTTTCTCTGCTATGATCTGTGAAACCAATGTTAATCTGGTAGACTCTGGAAGCACAAGGAGGAAGCTCTTGTGGTGTTTGTCTGCTGTTTCTTGGGTTTTGTAAATGGGGTCCAAATTAGGCGTATGACCATTAGTTTTTATCTTAACTCATCAACACACAAGACATCTAATGGTTCAAATTATCCTAATTGAATCCGAAGGGCATACCCTCCTCCATTGACCTGTACATATATAATGTGTGTGTGACTTTGTGTGGCCACACACGTTGGTCCTATGGTTTGATTTCTTGATCCAGTGAGATAATATCTTGTTTGATACAGACATATATATGTGTGTGTGTGTATATATATATATATTTAGATGCAACCCCATCTGTATGTTCTCACTGTATCTCTCAACCCTCCTGATGTAATTCAATAAGGGGATGTCCCCATAAGTTAACAGTCAATGTACTATGTTTCCATCTTTGCTTCCGTAAACTCTAAAACCTTATCAATTACTGGGATGCAAAATGTCGAAGTTACCTAGGAAGCCCAACGTAGTGTGTTAAAAAATGTTAAAAGCTTACGGTGTGTGCAACTGAGTAACATGTTTCAATTACTCAATTTCAGGATTTTTAAGGTTTTTGTAGGTCCACATTGTCCATTCATGAGAACTTTATATAAACATTCGGAGGATTCTTTTTGTAGTTATTGGCTTCCAGAGCTACGTTTCTTCCCTTATAACTAACTCTTCAAGGTGATAATAGTTTTTTCGAAGGCTCGTTTCTATCCTAATAACATTGTTTGAAACCATAATGTGGTACGGCCCCATGATTCACATGGAAAGATGGTTACTAAATTTCTAATACACTACAAAGTTGCAGGCTTTAACTTAGTTGAGGAGTTAACAACAAAATAAGGAACCAAGTGGCTTGTAGAAACCATTGCTATCTTGTAACGCTTAGAAGTACAGAAAAGCTACCAACTCAGCCTTTCACATCTAAAACAGAAATAAGAAGAGGGCCAAGATAATATGCAAATATAAATTATAAGAGTCTCCAAGATTTTGGCTTGAAGATAAGTTGATGCTTCTTTGACCACTATTAGAAGTTGTGTCATAAGCAAGAATTCTATAAGAATGAGATAGCCTTGCCAGTTTGCCTTTGCTTCCTTTAGGTTGATATTTAAGTTGTACTGTGAAACACACTCATGGATATGACGGAAGGTAACAGTGCATTTATGACAATGAAGAAAACAAGCACATTAACAGTAGTTCACTTACGATGTATGCTTCTTCGGATAGAGTAAGATGTTGACCACGGTTGTTTCGGTGGCAATCAACTTGTGGATTTGAATGTTCATTTCTGATGTAAAACGAGTATTAGGGTGGTAACAGCAATAGCTGTGGCAGTTATTGATGCAAGGGGAGTATGCAGTGTTTGGTTCTGATAGTGATAGTAGCATAGGTAGATATTATTAGTAATGTTTCTTAATCGAGGACATAATTGTGATTTGCTGTAACATCCACTTGTAAGCAGAGTTTTTTTCGTTCAGATGCATGTCAAGTTTGTTGTATGACTATGCGTGCGAAAGAGCTCTTTATGTTTAAACTTGTGTTTTTTGTATGCATAGCGAATATGTTTTCAGGCTGTCATCTAGCAAACTACTTATGAAAATTCTTGTACCGAATGCAGGAGAGGTTAAGTAGGGCACTGATGGTCTGTCAGGACAAGTTCGAAGCAGCTAAGCAACAAAAGGTCACAACCAATTCACTCAACAATTTAGAGTCATGTGTTGAACAGGCAACCCAAGATAGCATACAGACGCTGCCACATCTTGCCGAAAGACTGAAGGTTTCCTTCGGGATCAACCATTAAGTCGAAAGAGTCGTGATAATTGTCTTTCTAAAGTACCCCTCTATTATTCCATTAACTTACCTACTAAGCCCGTGATAATCGATAAATTGTCGAATTTCTTTATGCTGGAAGGCAAAATAACTGTCCTGTACTTTCTGCCATAAGTGCTAAATTATCGGTTAGCAATTGACGTTTTTGTAACGATGAGGAAATGATTTGGTGGAACTCAAGAGGCATATGAAATAATTGGTTGGAATTTCCCATCCACTGTGAAGTATACAAAATTATTGTGATCCAATGCACAACACCGACATGCTTGTGATATATACCATCTGCACCCTTAGTACCGCGCATGCACAAATCTTTTGTGTAAGTCGTTGCAACTTGCAAGGGAAAGGACCCTATAAGGCTATAACCAGTGACGGACCCCCAAAATATTATTGGGGGAGGGGGCGGTCGGTAAGAACAGCGTAGGGCGCAAAGTTTTTTGGACGAAATGACATGCAAATTGACATTTCATCGACTTGGTAGGCTTGAGATCATTTGTCAAGTCATACTGCACATCTGTCGACATATGTCAACGACTTTCGAGCGAGCATATTGATAGGCATCAATAGCTTTTGAGCAAGCATGCCGGCATATGGCAAAGAGTGAGCCTATCGACATAAGCCCATAGCAACGCATACAAAGGCATGAAGCTAGCAACTATCATGCCCAGTGCCCATGGAGGCAATTCGTTGAGCAGCTGGAGAGCATCTTAGATTTCCTGAGGGCATTGCCCAACTCTTCCATGGAAGATTTTTTGAGCTTTTGGGGGCCCGGGGGGGTCAGCTAACCCACCTTACCCAAGGTGGATCCGTCCCTGCCTGTAACACCATGCTGGTATGCTAAATAGAAAGAAAAAAATTATGATAAAAGCATAAGAAATAATACACAAATTAATGTATAATCTTGGTGAAGAACATTGCATATTCATTTGAAAAATGAATGGAGGGCTGCAATGGTGTCTTCCAGCAGCAATAATGTTCCATTAGTTACTAAATAGTCAGGATTCAGAACAGATTCTGTTAACCATGAATTATAACTCATAATTAACCACCATTAATTATTGCTACTTGTATGTTGTATTCTTTAGCGCTCAACCAAGCGCAGTTGCATTATAAGATCGATGCAGCCCATCTGCTTAGTGGGACAAGGCTTTGTATTCCTTGGTCTAAAAAGGTTTTCTCAGTTGCCAAACACAGTTCAATAAACGATGCAATAACAACCATTTAAGTAAATAAATCTGTGAAAAAAACTGAAAACAGATCATAGATCATGTAAGAATTATGGGTTATTTCTGCAAAGTGCTAACAAAAGAAGGATCAGTCGATCATCAACCGATCAAATCAGCAGAAAAAGTTTAATAAACCGAAAGGAAATAAAGAAAGCAGGATTGAATAACTATATAATTATATATCTGTACTGTTAAGCATAGGAGAGCCTCGGTCCAGATTCCGAACAAAACCCCTTGAGAAACCCCGAGTTTTTGCCTATCTCAATTTGATTTAGCCACTTAGTACTACGGTCTAGTGATATTCTTCTTCATTTGTAAGTAAGAAGTTTTAGGTTCGATTATCGTCAAAGGCGAATATGAATCACATTATTGCTAGTCCATTGTGAGGTTAAGCCCACCCCTTCTCTTAGCTTAGATAATATTATTTGGTCAAAAAACAAAAATCGATTTGAGGGTTTTGCGTGAAGCTGGTATATAATGTGATGAAGTATGCAGTTGGTGGAGCAACACGTGTTCCAGCCTGTGGGCCACATTTTGGCCAGCAAGCATTCCACCGGTTGAAAGAAGGCCACATTTTGGCCCGCAAGCATTCCACCGGTTGAAAGAAGGCAAGAGCAAGGCTCAAAAGATGTCCTCTAAGATCATTTTCAAAAGATATGTCAAAGCTTAAGTGGAATTTCATGTAATCAAATTTGAAGGTATGAGTGAGCTCCAATTGACATATGAGTTTTCATATGTCAAATTTGACATATGAGAAAAGGTGATGTCAATTTTTTTTAATTATTTTATTATGTGGATCTCATTAATACATTAATTATAGATCTTGAAAAATGTGCTTTAATTAATTTCTTTTTAAAATGGATCCTACAAATATCATTTATCATAAAGAAACATATCGGTTGGAAAAAGAAAAAAATCTGACATTATCACATCAGCTATTAAATTAACATCTTTGGAGATGCTCTAACCCATAAACCACTTTCAGCTGTCTAATTTGGCAAGGGCAAGTGGTCGCCATTCAAAGCATGTGCAAATGCCCGAGCAAAAGAAGCCCGGCCTTACGCCTGCGGGCAAGCCGGCTTTAGCTACAATTTTTATTTTTTTATTTTTTATTTTTTTTATTTTTATCAGGAGCGTGTAACACACATGCAGAAAAGGATGGCAGCCAACAACTTCTGCAGGGGTGCGCAAGACAAGAATAAGCAAATGCGAGAAAAAAAGAGAGTTAAATAGGTAAGAAAGGTTAGAGGAGAAGGATTGTGATACCATGCCTCGACATCTTAATCATGTCTTTTGATTTAAAACGGTTTTCGAAAAGCAAAAAAAATCGAGTCATGAGAAGAAGGGTTTTCGTAGTATATAAGAAAGTTCTAAATGTTTTAAGAAATGACAGATCGAGTCAGAGCCACACTAATTTTATTTCCTAGGTTAAATGCTATTAAAAATATGATTATTTCAATTTGGTAGTTGGTTATTTTGTTAAGTGAGTTCTTAGAGCATCTTCAAAGTTAACGTCAAATTCAAAACATCAAATTTTAATTTGATAGCTGACTTGGCAATTTGACATATTGTCAATATATTCATTCCACTTGATATGTTAAAATTTATTGTTTCATTTATGCTTTTTAAACAAAAATAATAAAAGTTGGGTTGTTGTTGTTTAAGAATAATAAAATAATACCTAAATGTGCTAGCATTTAAGGTAATGCAAGTGAAATGCCTTTAGAAATGACAAAAATCAAATTTGAAGGCAGCTTTAGATTTGACATTTCTTTATCCATGTCACTGCTTAACCTTTTTTTCCATGTTATTTTTGACATCATATTTGAAGTAAATGATATTTTTTTTATTACTGTTATATGTCTATATGACAATTTTAACGTATATTTCAAAAATTGTCTTAATCTTTTCTTAAACTTTGAAATAGTATATTGGAATCAGACAATCGTTTTATTATCGACGCTACTTTTATTCTTCAATCAAGAGATTCTCCATTATTGTTGAAGGCAGAGTTTTCTTACGCAGTCGATTCGGCTTTAAAGAAAGCGTGAGGAGTACTTCCGGTGACGTGTCACAATCTGGAGCTTTAAATCAGCTTTGCATGGAATGAACGGCTGGGATAGAGAAGAGAGGAGACAATCCGGATCCCTCTGTAAAACCCACACTCTAGAGCTTCACCACCATCGCCGCTCTCAAAACCCTAAATCATCTCCCTCTCCGCCCTCATCTTCAACTCTGCCATGGAGGAGGTGTGCGAGGGCAAGGACTTCTCCTTCCCCAAGCAAGAGGAGACTATCCTCAAGCTCTGGTCCGAAATCAAGGCCTTCGAAACCCAATTGGCGCGCACCGAGGGCCAGCCCGAGTACGTCTTCTATGACGGTCCTCCATTCGCCACCGGACTCCCACACTACGGCCACATACTGGCCGGCACCATCAAAGACATCATCACCCGATTCTTCTCCATGACGGGCCACCACGTCATCCGCCGCTTCGGCTGGGACTGCCACGGTCTGCCGGTGGAGAACGAGATCGATCGGATGCTCGGGATCAAGCGTCGGGACGATGTGCTGAAGATGGGGATTGATAAGTACAATGAAGCCTGCAGGAGCATTGTCACTCGGTACGTGGGGGAGTGGGAGAAGGTTATTTCGCGGACGGGGCGGTGGATTGATTTCAATAACGATTACAAGACGATGGATTTGAAGTTCATGGAGAGCGTTTGGTGGGTCTTTGGCCAGTTATTTGAAAAGGGTCTTGTTTATAAAGGCTTCAAGGTTGGTTGATTGGTTGATTGCATTGTGTTTTCTTTCCGTTTTGCTCAACTGGTTAGTGAGATTTTCTGAACTAAACTGGTTTTTGCATAATTGGAAATGGGGTTTGTAAGCTTAATTGGAAATGATATCGGTTTTTCGATTAAAGCATTTTGTTGCTGTTTAACTAGATAATGATTTCTAGTTAGGGTATAAGCTCAATGTCGGTTATTGAAAACATGAGAGAAATGGAGGGAGGGCGAGGGGAGGAGAGATAGTGTCCAACTTAAGCAGGGCGGGAGGACACATTTTGTTTGACGTATTGGGCAAAAGAAAGGGATGCGTTGTATATCTACTGACAGATTTTGTTTTCCTTTTTTTATAGGTCATGCCATACAGCACTGGTTGCAAGACACCGCTCTCCAATTTTGAGGCTGGTCAAGAGTACAGGGTTAGTGATAATTCTATTGATATTATATATAAAGATAAAGATTGCTAAATTATTTTAACTGTTGTTCGTACTGTTATTGAATCTTTGCTTAATGTGTTGAAATTAGTGACTTTTGGTTTCTTGGTTAAGTGGTAAAAGACTTTTCAATATAAGAACCAGCATCTATGAATTCAACGTTCCAGCATAATATAAATGAAAGGAAAAGGGGGGCACACTTTGTATTGTTGAAACTTGGAATTTGTCTGTGTTCTTGTTCTGCCCTGAATTCAACTATTTTCTTTCCTGTTATTGGAACTTGTTGCTTGATGTTTAAGAATCTCTACCATATTTGACATCTCTAGAGAAACACAGGATGTACCTGATCCTGAAATTATGGTGACTTTTCCAATTGTTGGAGATCCGCAAAAGGCAAATTTTGTGGCTTGGACAACTACACCATGGACCCTCCCGAGCAATTTGGCCCTTTGTGTCAATGCAAATTTTACTTATGTGAAGGTCAGTTACTAATAGCAAAAGTAACAAAAGTAAATGCCAGCTATTTTTGTTTTCATCTCTGTTTCAGTTTCTTTGTCACATAAATTTGATTGCCCTGTAATACTAGTTCTCATCTCTATAGTGTTTAAAATTAATGAGTTTATTTATTTATTATTATTATTTTTTTTCTGATATCAGACTATATTCTGATGCCAAGAATTTTTGTTCAACTTTATTCAATGGGTTTTATTATGCTATATTACATTAGAATCTAATTTGAGGTGGAAAACAAATCAGGTTCGCAACAAGTAC